AACGCTTTCTCTTCCTCCCCCATTTTTAGATGACTCGCTCCTCTTCTACATACTCCTTAAGTGGACCAATTAAAAATATTATTAGTGTGCAGCGTTCCAACTCTATTGATGGGAGCTCCCAAACTGCTAGGCTTCGACCTCTGATCTGTACTTCCCATGATCGGCAGGGGAGAGTTGCCTCCAGCTCGGAAACCTTAAATGTCCACTCCCTGGCCTGTTCTTGCTTGGGCACCACTAATGACGAAGCGGGTGGAGACAAAAGGGTTGCCTAAAGTGAGCTTTATCACCTCTTTGGACACACTTTGGGTGCAAAATAGCTTTCCTTTAATAAGGTGCACAACCTGTACTAAGTTCTCTAGGTCAGGGGTAGGAAAAATATTGCCTGTGGGTTGTCAGGGTCCCAGACTCTTGACCCCCTTTACCTTTATACCCGCAGAAGCGTCTAAATCGTTTTTGTGACTGACCACCGAAGGTTATTTCACTCCTCTGGGTCCATTTTGAGCCCCAAATGGCCTTTTATTATAGTAAACTTCCAGACGCTTCTGATTTCTAAAAATGAATGTGTGTTCTGCTATGGTCTAGGGGAGGGTGAAATTGGGGCCTTGACCTTCCTGCTCACCCCTGATTTAGGTTCTGGATCTATTTTGGGATTTCAGCACACTTTGCTCATACCAGGAGATGCTTTAATTCTTTTTCTTTTACTTAAAGCTCTTTGTCAGGGAAGATACGTTCACCATGGATACAGTTTTGTCTTGGGCTTGCTTTCCACGTTTTCTAAAATTCTGGTGTTTCTCTTTAAATGTGGTGTTTAGGGATTTGGCTTTGAACCCTGACCCTCATTACAATTAAATCATAATTTTGAAGATTGTCTGAGCAAGTCAGGATAACTTCCGTCATCACTTTTTCATCAGCTTTATATTTTTAAGTTGTGCTGTGCTTCATTCTCTTGTTGTTGATGTGGTGCGGAATCATGAGAAGATGTTTATGTCCCAAAGGATGTAAATGCAGGGAAGAAAAACTGAAGGGCAGTCAGCAGCTTTTTAAGCAACCCTGAAACTTAACCTGTACCAAAAAAAACCAAAAGAGTTTTGTATTCATTCTTGTTATCCAGGGAGGCTTTTGACCTCACTGTTAGATGGAAGAATAATATTTTGTTTGGAAATGTGAACAAGCTAATAGAGCCAATTACCGTATTTACTAGAGTATAAGCCAAGTTTTTCAGTCCGTTTTTAGGCTGAAAAAGTCCCTCTCAGCTTTATTTATTATTTTACCGTGCTATAATTATTGTGTTTATTACATTTATTATTTATTCTATTTATTATTGTGCTCTATTTATTGTTATTACATTTATTATTTTACTCTATTATTATTTTTACATGTATTATTTTACACTATTTATTTTTATTATATTTATTATTATTACTCTATTATTATTACATTTATTATTTTACTTTATTATTATTTGGCTGTAATTTACAGCGAAGAAGGTTAGAATAATGGTTTAAATCAGAGTTGGACATTCTTTATCTTAAATTGCAGTTTATGTAAATATTCAAAAACATTTAATCTACTGATGCCTCAATGTAAATTTATTGTTTTACATTTTTATTGTTTATGTAGAAAACAAAACAAATGAACAAAAGAAAAAAAAGAAAAAATATGCAAAATATTTACAAAAGAGTGAATATTCAGTTAAAGATATGATCAATCAGATTTGGTTGTACAATTATTTATACCTTAATATTTCTTAACGCCCTATCTCCCCACCCATGAACCCCACCTCATGACCTCCGAAGCCCCTCAAAAAAGGATCACACTGCTAAACAACAACTACCCAAATATCTTCTTTGACTGAATCCCCTTTATGGCAATCTTCAAGTTTACCTTCGTCTTCTTTTCCAAATACCCAAGTGCCATTTGTTTGCAAATTCTTCATTATTTCCTCCTCTGCTGCTATTTGTCAGCTTGGCCATTTGGATATAATCTACCAAATTATCTCTCCAATCTTTAATAGATAACTCTTTTTCCCCTTTCCAAGTTTTGGCTATTATTAGTCTTGCCGCAACAAAGCAATATTGACAAATTTCTTCATCTCCTGCACTGATATGCATTCTAAATAGTCCTAGTAGGCACATTTCCGGGTTTTTCTTGACCTTTTTGTTAATCATATCGTTTGTTTCTTTCACCACATTTTCCCAAAATTCTTTAACTATATTACATGTCCACTATTTTTATTTTAAAATTTACTAGTAGCTGCTCCATTTTCCACCCTCAGCTTATACTCGAGTCAATACATTTTTCCAGTTTTTTGTGGTACAATTAGGTGTCCTGGCTTATATTAGAGTCGGCTTATACTCGAGCATATATGGTAAATTAATTTTTGAGACTAGAAAACCTGAAAAAAGAAAGGTTACTGAACATCAAAGTCTGAAAAAGAGCTCTGATTTTGACATACATTTTGCACATATATATCTCAAAGTATTGCTGAATATAACTTGCCAGAACTTTGAAAGCCTGAATTCTGTATTTCCTGGGATCCTCTTAAATAACTTCCTCACTTGGCTCTTCCACCCACGGGGATAGTTTGGGATTTCTTTCTTTCTAATTAGATGAGTCAATATTTCTTCCGTTCTCTTTAACAGGGCATCCACTCCCCTTCTTTGATCAACCTGCCGTCGGTGTTTGAAAAAAGGAGTCATACCTTAAGTCGATCGACTACTCATTTGATATGAACTTGGTGGAAAATGGACTCGCAACATAAAATTGTGGCTGGCCAAAAGGTGGTTTGGCTTCCCAAGCAATCCCTTACTGACATGAATGGAGGTACTTAGCTAGCACTTAGTGGCAGTTAGTAAACTTGTAGATAACACTAAGGTGAGCATCAAGAGTTGTCTGATTTGTCTACAAAACAAAGTAAAGGACTGGACCTTGGTTTGGGTAATAAGCTTTTTCTTTGCACATGTTACTCTGTCAGCATAATCAAAATATTTTGCTCTATGTAAAGACTTCATAAATAAAATGGTATTTGAATGCGTTTGGTGAAATTTGAAAGTTAATCAATGGTATACCAACTGACTGAGGATGGTGAATTTTGTTCCTAAAACAGTATTTTTTAATATATTTTGACAGCATATATTGTGAGTTTCATTCATCTGCATGAACGAATTTCTACAGTAAAAATCATGCTGAATTTTTGAAGTACAGAAATCAACCTGTGTTTGTAGGATATAAAAAATGAGGTTTTTACATGCCTGAATATTTTTTTATTCCTTCATGGCACTGTGGAGATGTTGGTGTTTCAGTGGAAAACATAAAATATTTTCACCAGTTTTTCAACTGATTTAATGTTCAGCTGCTAGGTTTAACAAAATTAAAATTTTCCCAAGATAGGAACTGCTCTAAAAAAAAATCACTTGATAATTGTATTTATAATCTTTGATGGAGACCATTTTAAAAAGAAGCAGTTTCTAAAACATAATGAAACACTTTTAATTCATACTGCTCATGCACAGATTTCAGTATGGAGATAAAATGTAGATTTGACTTCAATATCTACTGCTGCTATTTTTTTTTATTCAAAGGCCTTTATATAAATTCCTTTGGAACATTCGCTTTGTGGTTTTTCTTATACTTCTGGTATTTTCCCTTGCAGCAAAACATCTATGGAATAATCAGGTTTCGTAATATAATTTTAACACTTTCTGTGGAAATTAATCTTTTACTTGCTCTGTGTATTAGGGAGAAATAGTGGGTGCAACTTCTAGCTTCTCATTCCTTTAACCACAGATGCTACTTGTATTCTGGCATAATTTGTGACACTTATTCTGTATCTTTTAAAAATTCTATATTTGCAGAAACATTTGTAAATAAACTGTTTATGTTAACATTGAATTCTTAATCCTATGAATTTTTCCCCTATTGCTGCAGTAATGTTTGGATTAGATTTATTTACAGTAGTTATTTATTTAGAGTATTTATATTTCGCTCTTCTCACACCAAAGGGGATTCAGGGCGGATCACAGAACACATATACATCAAACATTCATGCCGATTATACAATGACAAGGTAGACAACAGATTGGGGGGATATATATATATATATATATATAGAGAGAGAGAGAGAGAGAGAGAGAGGGGGGGGGGCTTTCCCATCTTTTGGCCTTTTGGAGGCTGTGCTTGGTTCCAGACACAGGGGGTGCTGTCACTTCCTCTCCTTGCTGACAAGCTTTTCTTAGTTTGTAAACATCCTCCTTTTTCTGATCAAAACTCCATGCCTAAAATGCCTCCCTGCTTTAATGCAGTTCTTATTTATCTACTTACATTTGTTTTTGAACTGCTAGGTTGGCAGAAGCTGGGTGGAAGGTCAGGCACTCATCCTGACCTGGACTTCAAACTATCAACCTTCTGGTTGGCAAGATTTATTGCAGCTTGGTGATTAACCTTCTCTACAATACCCCAGCCCTTACGATTGTGCTGCATCATTAATACATTATTTTTCCTTCAAAGCTCAGAATCAAGTAGGCTTAAAAGATACAAAGAAATAGAAATGAAACAAATATATATATTATGTTTAAAATGAAATGTCCATGCCATTGAAACCATTTAACGCATCAGTTGAAAAGCAAAGGATAAAAGGAGTATAACACACTAAAACATCCTAAAAAGCAAGTTGGAACAAAATAAAAATGATAATAAAGGGGAGCCAACCTAATTTTCTAGGAAGGAAGTTCCAAAACTGGTGCCGTCACAGGAAAGGTCCTCTCTTGCATTTCCAGTAAACCTATTTATAAGAGCCATGGCAATAACATATGTGGACCTCTTGAAAATCTCATAGGGGAAAGTATAATCCTTCATATAATTTTTACCCAGGTAATATAGGGTTTTATGGATTATAAGCAGACATTTGAACTATACTTGGAAGCAGACTGACAGCCACTAGACCTGTTAAAGGGGAATTGTGTGCTCTCTGTCACTGTAATGCTTGTTCCATATCTTAGCAACACATACAATGCATGGTTTATTCAGTTGCTTTTGAGAATTTCCTACAATGGAAAATTGATCAGGGATGTGTATGTTGTGATCTGCTTTGTAAAATGTGTTGAAAGCATCTTCCCATTCAACTACTCCACAATTATTTATTTGCTTCTGATAATTTTTTGGCCAAAAAAGTTCCTATTGTGATACCTAAATACCACTGAAAGTTTCTGATCGACTTCAGTGATGTCTTACATCAGACTTGTTCAATTTCCATTCCACTCAACAGGAAGAAAAATGCAGATCAGAAGGTAAGAATGGTGATGCCAGTCCATAAATAGTTGCATGTCAAGAAGCCTTTCCTGGCCATTTCCAAGTTTGAGAACAACTGCAGTAGTTGTGAATTATTAGAGCTTTCTCATGCCACAATTCTGGAAATACCCTATTCATAATCTTTCAGTGAACACAGGGCATTGAAAGCCGTTGCTGACTGCCATAATCAGTTTTAGAAGGCAAGGAGAAATAAATTTCTTTCATATCTTCTTGGCTCCACAAAGAAGTCCAAAAGGGTGAACTTAATGCAGTGTTAGATTTCCTGATCTAACAGTGAATTGTATGAAGGTGGAGGCACAAAAAGAAATTTCATATGAATCAAACATTCAGATACACAAAGTCTTTTATATGCAACATGCTCCTGCCTTTTCTGGGGTTGTTTTTTTTTTTTGGGGGGGGGGTCATGTGCTCCCACAGTCTGGCAGAGTAACAGATTCTGTTATCAAAATTATCACAGTTTAGGGTTAGGAACCACCTGATGAGATGAGTGACCGATGTGAAGGGAATTAATCATGGCCTGAAAGATGTTTATCTTCCTGTGTCATCACTGTTCCAATCTATTTAAGGTTCCTAGTGCTGTTTGAAGAGGCATATATTCTCACTGCAGGGTAAGTAAGGCATTTATAGACTACTGTGATTCATCTGTATTCTTTATTGAACAGAAGTGGTGGAAAGATTGGAACAGTTATGATAGCTCAAGTTGGCTTGCTTCCAGTGCCACTGAAAGAGCTATGTTCTATCATTTTTTTACTTAAAAAACTTTTAGCATGTAAAGGTAGAAAGCAAAACTGGTAATAAAGCGTTGCTTTCTTTCAGATACATGCACTCGCCATTTGAGTATACTCTTGAGACTAGCATCCCTTCCAAAGTTTAAATCAGTTTAAGGTGGAACAAAAAATGCTTTGCATGTGCTAATCCCCAAAATGCTTGCATCTCTTATTTATATATCCTGAGGCTGGGAAAATTCCTCGAATAGGACAAGCTGACACTGCCAAGTTATGCAGCATATCTTGGTTACCTAACAATGCTGTGAAATGAGGAAGTTTTGATTTCTATCTTGTTTGTTAGCTTGATGGAATTTCCAAATACATGTGCTTTGCAGTAGTGACTTCGCAGCCTTGGCAAATGAAGTTGCAAAAGCTCATGGTTCTGGGCCCTCATTGTCTCCAGATTCTGTTATGTCACGATAAGAGACAGAAATATTTTTATTCCACTAAAGCCGGTTCTTTGATTCACTAGGCTTCGGAATCAAAGTCCCTTTGAGAACCAATTTGATATTATCATGTACTGGGATCTATATCCCATTCTTCTGGAGACCCAGAAATATAACTGAAAATCATAATTGTTGCTTTCAAAATTGAGTGTTGGAAGAATGATGTTTAACTTTGATACTGTCCAGATAGGCATACTATAGAGTTTGCAGACAATCCCTCTGCTGTGATGATCCATATTAATCTTCTCCTGACACTCTTATAAAGAAAAAGAACAACTTTACCCCCCCCCCAGGTGCTATTGAATCTGTCCCTCTACTACAGGCATGAGCAAACTTTGGCTCTCCAGGTGTTTTGGACTTCAACTCCCACAACTCCTAATGGCTAATAGGGAGTTGAAGTCCAAAACACAGTTTGCCCATGCCAGTTCTACCATCAATCCTGTAGATGCTCTGTGATTTCATCCTGTCTAAAAAAGACAGAAGGGCTTAATCCTACCTTGGACCTTTGGGATGACAATTCTTTCAGAGTGTCCAAACAGTTCAGGATGGCTTTCCTCCCTCTGCTTTTGTCCTGCTTCAGTCCTATAGTTGATTCACCTCTTCAACAATTCACTGTATTGAATTGTTCACCATTTCTTGGCATGGTGGCTAGATACCACCAATGTTTAGTTTGGCATGCCCTTTTTCTCAGCCTCAACCTGAGTAGCCATTTATATCAGTGGCCATTTATATCAGTGGTTCTTAATCTGTGGGTCCCCAGGTGTTTTGGCCTACAACTCCCAGAAATCCTAATGGCTGGAAAATTGGCTGGGATTTCTGGGACTTGTATGCTAGAACACCTGGGGACCTAGAGGTTGAGAATCACTGGTGTACATTACAGTTGCTGTGTGCCTACAATTCCTTCTTTGAAATTAAAGTGTTAGATTGCCACCTTATGGAAAGTAACACCAGAGAATCAAGTAACCCTTGATAGGAAGATGGAAGGAAAAGAAAACAGGGAAATTGGAAGGAGGGAAGATGGAAGGAAAAGAAAAAAAAAGTTGATGAGAGGGAAGAAAGGAGAAGATGGATGGAGAATAGAAAGAAGGTAAGAAAAGAGAAAGCATGAAAGGGAAAGGAGGGAGGAAGGAAAGATTGGAAGAAGGTAAAGGAAGGAAAGAAAACAGAAAAGGATGAGGAGGAAAGGCAGTTGGAAGAAAGGGATGGAAAAGGGTTGGAAAGAGGAAGAAAAAAAGGATGGAGAGATGGATGACAAGATGATTGAAGGAAGAAAAAGGAAGAGGGAAAGGATGGAAGGAGAGGAAGAAGAAAAAACAAGGGAGGAAATGGTGGAAAGGACAGAAAAAAGGTTAAAGAGGACGGGCAGGCACACAGGACAGGCAGCTGGAGTGTGCACTGTGCACACTGCCGCTCTCCACAAACAGTGGAGAGTGGCAGGTCCTGGTGAAGTGGCTTGAAGGGGTGGGCACTGGGAGCAGAAGAGGAGGAGCAAAAACAGTGCAACTTGGGGCAGGCAGGGAGGCTGGTGTGCATTCCTGCTGCTTCTGTGCGTGTGCCCACCCACTCTTCCACACTTTACCATATTACATGAAGGTAATGCACACCCCAATTTTGGCATGGTCATTTAGTCAAAAAAGGTACGCCTTAGATTCATGTAAATATGGTATTACCTAAATGAACGAAGAGGAACAAACTTTAGCACCCCACTTCTCACATTCCATCTATGTAATTAGTATGCCAGCAGAAACATCTTGATCTTTCAGCAGAAGATAATTTATTTGCAAATGCTTTCACCAGAGCGCTATTTTTGTGCCACAAATGGTAGGTGCATGCAAATAGTGTTTTGGAGCTGAAGCACTCCAGAAATGGACTTCTTTGCATCTCTCAAGAACAACCAATGCAGGATATATTGTCAGGGGACAAGTTTTATGACAATGGAATCACACCCCGCCATGTATGTTTTTCCTCTGTTTTTGATCATCACCAGAGCAATATCAAAAATTTGGGGAGACTAGTCAAGGTGTATTCCGATTATGCTGTGGTGGCCAAGACAGCCTTGGTTTGCTCCACTTTTGCATCTGTCCTGAAGCATTCATATTGTCTACATTTTGTAAAAACACCAATGAAGAATAAAACATCCTTCCTGATAGCAGCACTTCAAAGGCCTTAGCTTTGAGGGGACTTCCTTAGCTTCTCTGCCTCAAGTTGACAAGACTGTCAGTGCTTTGACTCATAGGCCTGCTACACTTATAAATGGAGTATGTTTTGTACTCTTTTGGCACCTGGAGGAAACTCTGTGCCATATACACAGAAGCCATGCCTTGGAATTTCTGATATCCTTGTCTGATAGAAGTATTTCATTTTCCTCCCT